AAGTTGAGTGGAATGAATCTTCCCAACAGTCTTTGAATCTTCAACTTTACTTCCTTTTATTTCTCCCCCTTGCACCCCTGTGAAAGCAGGTGGGGCATTCTTTGGCAATAGAGAAGTAAAGTTGGTAATTGGGGCCAACGCCTTTTGAATATCTTGCTACAGAGTATTAACTTTGAGAGTTAAAAATTTCGGAGTAAGAATCATTTGTTGAGAAGTCTGTGAGACACAACTTTTTAATTCAGTAGCTAACTGAATTAATTTTGAAAACTGCTCTTTAGTCTCTTGATGCTCGGCTTCGATCATTTGAGCAGACGGTTGATAATCAGTGACAAGCTTAGTTACTGCTTCAGCAATAATATCAACACGTTTCTGGACCTCTGAATGTTGCGAATGAAGGTCTTGAATCTCCTTTGCCACTTCAGCCTTTAACTCCTCAATTTTGAAGTTAACATCTTCCCTGACCTTCTTTACATCTTGTACAAAAAGAACATGGCGTTCTTTTGTAACAATTTTTAAATCCTTGATAACACCATCAAAAGATTTGCCTTGAGCTTGAATGCGAAGCTCATTATTTTTTTCAGAGTCATCAACTTTCGCAATGATACGCTTCTCTACAACTTTTATCATAGATTCAACCTCCAAGCCCGAGATAGATAACTTTGTACCAGCATCTGCTTGTGATTGAATAATGGCATTCAACTTGCGATTCAGTATTTTAAACTGCTTAACTGACATAAGCATGTGATCAGGTATTTCCTCCTCTTTTGAATCAATATGTATGGCTTCAAACATTCCTCCAAAACCACCTCCTTCGGTTTCTTCGTCATACTGAGCTTGCGAAGGTATAGATTGTGGTGCTTTAGGTGATTGAGGAGGACATAATGTAGTGAAAGGATGTTTCAAAGGATGATCAAATATGGATGATGTGGTTGTTTGTGTATTTGGAAGAGGAAATGGTGGTAATGAAGTAGATAAGAAAATTGGCTCTGTGAGTTCAATATTTGAGATAGGTGTCTCCGTATTAGATACATTTACAACCTTATCAGAAATAATCTCTTCCTCTTGAACTGAAGTATGTGTAACAACTTCAAGTGGTGTGGATGTGGTAGTGGAAAGTTGCAAAATGATTGGAAGAGTAACAGTTACCGTTGTGGAAACAGGTGGAGTTTCGGGAACCACTTCATCGTCTGATGATTCATTTTGAATAACCAGCTTTCATTTCTTGTAGAGCTTTTGGGTAATATGCTTCGCAACCTCTGCAGCTCTTCTTCTTTTTGAGCCAGGAGAAACAGGAGTTGGAACATCTCTAAAAATAACTCCCTTACTACTCACCTTAGTTTTGCGAATAGTAGGTGAAGTAGTTGTCGTTTGTGATAATTTGCGAAGCTTCTTTAATACCCCTGATTTTGTGGTTATTGTTTCCTTCTTGCTTTTGGGAGAAGACTCATCTTTCTCAATTCCTTCATCCTTCGAAACTTTTGAAGGTTCTTGTTTGTCTTTCTTTTGAGTTTGCTTCTTTTTCTTTGAAGACTCAGCAGTGACTTCAAGCAACACTCCAGTTCGCACATTATGATCAAACGTTTTCATCTACCAAACCAACACTTTGTGAGTAGGTGAAACTTTGCGAAGCATCGCATCAGGAATTCTTGTGACACTTGTAAAGATATTTTCATTATCTTCAACAGCTTTTGGAAATTGGTACAAAGAAAATTCAGCAACTTCTCCGTCTTCGGGAACTTGAATTCCTTCTTTTGCGTATACTTTTTCCAAAATTAAACTCCAGTACCTAGCACAAGAAATCCCCTTCTCAACGCTTGTATTTTCAAGACTTTTGTTGAACTCCTTCCACAACTGAGTTCCATAATCAACCCTTAAATCGTAATAATGACCCATCACCATAGCATAAACCTCCATTCTTCCCATGTCTAACCCAACACTCCTCCCGGTCAAACACCTAAGAAAGATTCCAAATAAGAAGTTCCAGATGCATGGTAGGCTTGATTTTCTGAAATCACTTATCTTTTCAAGAGTGGGTTGATGACCCATCTCATTGAACATAAAAATAATCTGTGAATTTGTTGGCTTAAGGAATGGTAGGTTATTTGGAATGTTCAAGAAGTTGATGAACATGTTCTTGGTAAGACGAACTATCTTATTATTCACCAGGTTAAAAGTTATGACATCAGTTGTATAGTTGTATGACGTAGTTGATGCCGCCATTGACAACCAAGACATAGGAACAGAGAAAGAATTGAACATTGCAGTTGATAATGGTGACCTTTTTAGAGCAACGACCAACATCTTCAATTCTTCTGGGTAGGATGAAACATTAGGATCAACTTGGTAGTTTGTGCTTTGAATCTTCATAAGGGACTGTGAAACAACTTCATCGGTGTTGGATTGAGTAGCATCCATTGTTAGGTTCGAAGAAAAGAAAGAATCATAGAATTTGGGAATTTTTGTGTTTGATCGTGTAACAGTATAACACCCTCTTTAACCCGGTTTTATACATAACCCTGATTGATTTAAATTTGAAGCGGGATGCATTTAATGATATCTGACGTGACACCTTGAAAATCGAACCATTACTGCGAAAAGTTAGCCATGTGTGAAAAAGCACATGTTACATCACTTAGAAAACCACGCAGAATACCATTCGTCATGTATACACAGTCTGTCAATATTCCCTTTATTGAAATGTAACCGTTGGAACCCTTCGCATGGAGGCAAGGCTCTTTCACTTTTGGGATGAAAAGCGAAGTCATGTGCCAGACTTGCGAAATCTTCAGTCTAAGTTGGTATTACTTAGAACCTCAAGGATTTCGTGGGTGAAGTGTTCCAAAGAAATAAGATAAGAAGCAAGATAAAAAAAAATTGGAATTTTTTGATGTCAAAAATGCAATTTGACATAAAAGCAATTAAACCCCAGGCAAAGGTTGCTTCGTTAATCATCAAGAAAGATGATCAACAGCTTGTGTATGTTCCCGTGAATTACAATCGAAATGTTTTTTGATAAGTATCAAAAGGGCTTTTTTTTAAATGGATTCTTGGGTTGGTTTAAATTTTCGTTACATTTCATCCTAAACATAAGGTGATTAATTGTAACAGAAATTACTTGTATGACCAGTGTAGTCAGTGACAAGTCAGATTTGAAAATGTTTATCACAACTAGAACATGCAAATGAAACTCACATGGAAATCATATTCATAAAAAAAAATTAATAAATTGGATCTTGTTGCATAACAAACATTGTGGATTTCAAATGTTTAATCAAGACCACGCATGCGAAATGAATATGATTTACAGTTTCAAATTTTTGGCACTGAAACAAAAGTTTCGTCAATATCTGGAACAATGTTCCCCGTCAATTCCTTAAGTTGTTAGATGTTTGGGTTTTACCTTCATCACGGACTCATGATGTCAGATCATTAACACAAATTTTTTGTATATCTAGGTCTTGATTGGTTTGATCAGAGACCTCTCGGACATAAGTCTTTGTGTGTGATTTGTGTTAAGAATTTTGTGATGAAAAAGATTGGCTATAAGATCGAATTTACCTCTGTTATTTGTGGACCAAACAGAAAAATCTTTTCTCATATGACAAGAGTAAGGTAGCTCCACTACTAGAAAAACAGCCTTTTACGACGCTCATTGCGCATCATAAAAGGCTCAGACAACGCGCAAATGCGCGTCAAGGAAGGCCCTGTCATAAAGAGAGACGATGCGCTTTTGCGCGTCGTCTATAGACGACGCACATTTACGACGTTCATTTACGACGCGCAATTACGACGCGCGTTTACGACACCCAATGCGTATCAAGGAAGGCCCTGTCATAAAGGAAGACGACACACATTGGCGTGTCGTAACCTTACGACGCGCGTGTTAATGACACGCAATGCGTATCAAGAAAGCCCTTGTCAAGAAAGGCCATGTCATAAATGAAGATGACACACATTTTTGCGTATCATAATTTTAAATGTTTAAAAAAAGTATTATTTATAGATTTACTAATTTTTAAATTAAATAATACATTAAAATTCTCACAATACAAAATAAAATACCATAAATAACAAAGATAATTCATTTCACTAATATGTCATACAAATAATTATTCCAAAAGTGAGTAAATGTTATAAAAAAAATGAACTCATTTATATACAATTGCATCATCTAGCTTACTATGTGCCAACAACTCTCTATGTGTTTACTTTTTCTTGAGTCTCGTTTCCTCCAAAGCTTCCAAATCATCTGGAGTTAGATGGATATCAGATATGGATAGTCCTTTACTAGAAATAGGCTTCACAAAGTCGCTAAGACTGTGCCTGCAAATTGCAAATCAGACATCCATCAGGTTCATATTAACTGTCTATCTATGCAAAAGTCTTATAAATGAAATAATGCCCTCTCAGCCTAAAAGATTAGAATGCCCAATGAAGTACTTATCTACCTACTTGATGGGCTATGCTGAAAATCTACTTTCGACTGTAGAAGTACCAATAAGTGATTGTATCACAAACATATAAACTTCTTAAGCCTGCCTGCTACTGCTAACAAAATAACTGTTTAGGGTTTAAGATTTTATTGTTTATAATTATACATGCGCAAGATAAGACCTATTACCATTGTTTCTCCACTTCGTGACTGATCTACAACCTAAATGTCATGTGTTGTTATTGTAGAGATGTAACTTCTAACTTTTTTTCTTTAAGGGAAGAGGAAATGGAAAATGACAGACATACAGGGAAGCCATTGTGATTGTTAGTCCTCATAATAGCGGCTACATCAGCAAATTTCACCACACGAGTGAAGTGACAAAGTTACAAACCTGTCAACTTTCACCAACAGCCTAAGGAAGGTAAATGGTCAAAACTCAAAACTCAAAACTAAAACTTGTTGTACTCATCAATGTAATTCTAATTGTAACTTGTAAGCAAAATAAAAGAAAAAACTTACTTTTGATATGAGGAGAACAAGCATGATAAGAGGTAAGAGATTTAAATTATTTGTATCCTCCCAACATTTTCAAGTGCCCATCCTGTTTCATATCATGAAATGGAATGGAATCAAAAAGGAATGGAGTAAGAAAAGGTAATAGACTCTCTATATCGCCTTTTGAGATGCTTCTACCAAACAGTAGCATGACGGAATCGGAAACAACAGTCGTATCCAGGAGAAAAATAGAGTTCGCTTTGATCTTCTCATTAAAGACCAACCACGGGAATGGAATTCTCAAAGCCCGGGAATTAACCGAGTTCTATAGCATTAAAAAAACAAATTCAGATTAAAAAAAACTATAAGAATTTAGAAAAACAAACTTACCGAGTGTAAAAGCACCTGACCATCCGCCACGTTTTTCAGCAAGAATGAATTTTCATTATGCTGATGTCAACAAAAGCGAGTTATTATTTATAAAGAAATTGTTTAAAAACAAAAAGGAAAATGACTTTTCCTTCTAATAACTTATGTCATCCCACTTAATCATAAATACCAAAACTGCCCCTTGCTTTTCACTCCCACATATACTCAATAGTAGAAACTCAATGAGATTGAATCCCATGAATTCATGCAATCAGGATTCCAGCATCACATAGAATCCCATGTCTTTGGACTATAGCCTCTAAAGTTAGTGTACACAAGTAAATTCCAGTAGTCCTTTACAGTTCTCAGCTCATCCACTTGTGACTTGCAACTGATCATGATTACTGACTGTAACAAAAAGAAAATTTTATATTTTTAACAAAGAGACAGAAAAAGAGAACCTTTAGCAGCATCATATCCAAGGTCGGGGTTATCTTGCTCCAATAGTTTCCCAACAACAACATCACCCTCTACTCCTGCATTCGCAGCTACTGTGTACCGGTGCCTTCACCCGGTGCCTTCACATACAAAATCAATAAACAATAAAATATCAGCAACAAAAATAGATATACAATAAAACTACACTGCTAGCTGCTTTTTATTAGGAAGATGGGGGAATTACCTTGAGAGCATTTTGAATTATTTGAACACCAATCTTCTGATCAAAATTAGCTGTAATAAGATTATCAAGCTCCTTTGAAGCATATAGAAGAGCAACACCACCACCTATATTATATTGTATATTTTTTGATATCATTATCACAATTAAAAATAAATACTTAGTAAATAGCATGTGTGGACATGATTTAATCTACCTGGCACAATTCCTTCTTCAACTGCAGTCTTTGTAGCATTTAGAGCATCAGTAACTCTATCCTTCTTCTCACCAACTTCAGCTTCACTCGCTCCGCCAATCTGACCAATCACAGCAACACATCATTTACATAACAAAATTATTTAGAAATAAAACAAAAATAAGAATCGTCCCCTCAAAACGGCAACACCACCAGAATTTTTTGCTAATCTCTCTTGGAGCTTCTCCTTATCATAATCAGAAGTGCTCAATTTAATTGATGATCTCAACTGTAGAAACACAAAATAGTACATGTTAGGAAGCTCAGGTACATAAATTAAATATATTGTTAAAAAGCTACTGTAATACCTGTTCACATCTTTCTTCAATTCCTTTTTTGTCGCCAACCCCATCAAGAATAACTGTGTCATCCTTGGATATTGTAAACCTAAATGTAAATATGTAATGTTCCAAACATTATTACCATATATTGCATACATAATCTATTTGGGCAAACTAGAGTTGTAGATGTAAAAAATAAATGCTTACCCTAAAATTGATAAAAAGGTGTGCAACTCAGGGGACTAAAACTGATAAAAAGGTGTGCAACTCACGGGCCAAAATTGTATTTTACTCTAAAAAGTCATTGAAAAAGTTAAAACAAGGGCAAAACGATAATTTTAACAAGCTTACCTCATTAATTTATTTCGCTGATTTTAGAAACGCATGCCAAATCCGTAGCCTGAAGGGGTCTTTTCTTAAAGGTCTAAAAGATTCATCCGGAAGATCAGCTTTAATATCCACAAAAATTATTTTAAGAAACTGAAGAATTTCATAAGCTTTCCCAGTTAATTTTGGTAAAGACAAGCAGTTATTTCCGATTATACCCCCATGAACTTCACACGGTTTTTTTCCAATTATACCCTCAGTCTCACACTGATGAGTTGCTAATTAGTTGAAAATGTGTAGTGGCATGAAAAACAATGGTTTCAAGTAGGTCCCACTAATTCCAAACACTCACACCGGAATATTTCCCCAAATTTCTATTCCATTTCTGCCCTTACATTTGTGGAATGAACCGATGACCTGCACTGAAGTGCAACTTGACCCACAATGTGATCATCATTTAAATCATTGGATTTGTTCCTTTGCCATTTTTTAATGTTTTCTTTCAGTTGTTTCTCTTTTGCATCATCATCTTCCAGCCATTCACGTAGAGCCTCAATTTCACCATCTGATTCATAGCAAACCCATGCACAAGAAGAGATTGTCACGATCACATCCTTCTTCACACTCACACCTGTCATAAAACAATAAAAAAAATTATAAATAAAATTTAATTATGTTTCATTTTCTACCATTAACAGCTTCCTAACATGTAAATGGAGACAAGACTCAAACAGAGAGATGAGGCTTCATGGTACACCCTTTACCCTTCCTTATATTAGTTATGTTTAAATGCAAATAAATAAATAAATAAATAAAGCCTGGATCTACTACTTTATGAGAGAATTCATTCCCCAATGTTTCATCATTTAAATGTTCATATCTAAGAATCTTGACAGCAACATGCTCAACAAGGTACTCTCCATGGAATCTTTCAACAAACAAAATAACTGATATTAAGATACTTGTAAGAATTAGGAATGCAATTGGAAACAAACAGTGTACACGTACAAATCACCACATGATCCAGATGCAATCTTTTCTCCAATCTTCAATGATGCTCTGTCTATTTCTGCATCTCCAAAAGTTGGTCCGCTGCAAATCGAGATATAAATCGACAGGTAAGGATCAGAACAGAAATTTAAGTCAAAAACCATAAGGAATGTCAATGAGGCAATACATCGAACACATTATGTGCACTTACAAACCACAAATGGAATCATCAACAAAGAAATAGAAAGAAAGGAAAGGAGGATTCATATCAGATAATGAGAAACAATGAAGATTTGGAAGCGAATTAAAAAAACACTATATGAAGGCCAAATGAAGAACTACAAAACCATAACAAAAAAATCCACAGAAAATTGGATTGAAGAAGAGATGAAGAGATTGATCAATTACTTGAGGAAATCTTGTACCTTCTTAACTAAAATTACAATGAGGAAGGCGTGATTGGGAAGACGAGATGATGCTCTTGTGGTCGCAGTGAGGAGGAGAGAAGTGGCAGTGTAGGGAAGTGTCGAACAGGTGAAACAGAAGGAATCGTGCTCTGCTGATTTAAAGAGGAAAAAGTGCTTCACTCTCATTTATTTTCATAAAAACGTGCGCAAGCAGCGATTGGAAGAACTTGCGATATATACATATTTGATTGAACTTCCGATAACAACAAGAAGCGATTGGAAGAACTTGCGTATTCAAAATCTTATGGGAAAGTACTTGATTGTATATTTAAAAAATAAAATGACTTTTAACAAAAATTTGGAAAGACAAACCACCCAAATCAGAAAAAACTCTTACACAAATCAAACCATGTGATCTTGATAGAAAAATAAAAACTGAATACAAATTAGGGCTCACATAATCAAATCTCGAAAATGAAATCACCTTAAATAAAATGGTGGAGCAGGTATCCTTAGAGGATTTGAGTTTAGGTGACCGACGTTTGTCTCGGGGAAGGGACAAGAATCGGTAAGTGCCAAAAGGATATAGGAACGGAAGGAGGCGAGATCTAGGGTTCGAGTATGAGATGTGGAATGGTGGAGTTTCTGTTAAGTTGTGGTCACCATAGAGATGTAGAATGGAAGGAGGCGAGATCTAGGGTTCGAGTATGAGAAAGAATTATTATAGAGTCGCCGGTGATTGGATATCATCAATCGTACTCCAGACTCTCAGATCCTTGGGTTCGATGGTGAAGGCGCCAACTTAGGATTTGCAAAGAGAAGGGAAAGATAGAGTGATCGGGCGGTGGAGATGTAGAAGAAAGAACGTGCAGTAGAGGAAGGCGGGGCAAGTTCTTGAAAAAAGCCCTAAAAAGGGGAGGCGGGGTTTTTAAGTAATTGGGATTTCATTTTTCCCTCCTGAGGGAACGCGCTGCTATTAAAATTTATAAAGCGACACCCTTAAACGACACACGTTCTATTATAGGTGCCCTCCGTGTTTTTTTAGACACTAATTCCAGGGCACGCAAAAATGCGTGTTTTAAATCCTTTAAATTTTAAGAGAGATAACATTATTTTTAGGGCACCCACAAATGCGCGTCCTCTATCAGCGAGTGTCATTGTTTGCGCGTCATTAAAGGTCTTTTTTCTAGTAGTGCTCTTTTGACTAATGCGAATACAAGCCTGATTAGGAAGAAATTTTCATGAGATAATTTCATTAAGGCTTTAATTTCTCACACATAAAGTCATATGAGGTTTGGGTCAACATGCTGCAGCATGCTTCTAGGGACATCCTAACTAGTACAAAGTTGAAAGAAATGATACCTTCCGTTAAAAACATTTATAAGCATGACCTTTTCACATTCTGCTCTTGACAAAAACTAAAAACACACAAAACTTAAAGAACAAAGACAAATATTTTTGTGGTTTTTGAATTTTGCAAAAATAAAGACATAACGAAATAAAATATTTTTGGATTTTTGGATTTTTGAAAATAAAAACAAAAAAAATATTTTTGAAACCTCAGTTATCTGATGTGAGGATGCGAAGCCTCTTAATGAACAGTAACTTCTGAATGGTTTTGTCTCAGAGCTACTGAATGGACCTTTCATTCTTGTGTTATCGATTTTGAAACTGAATTCACATCAATCATTCCCAAACCTGCTAAGATTCTTACAAAAGATTTTTCATCAAGAGGTGTAGTAAAAATATCAGCAAGTTGTTCAGTGGTTTTAACAAAATGTAATTCAATATTCTCATCTTCCACATGATCTTTGATAAAATGATATCTAAGAGAAATGTGTTTTGTCTTTGAATGTTGTACTGGATTATGACAAATGCGAATTGCACTTTGAGAATCACAATACAATGGAATCTTTTTCATGTTTATCGCATAATCCCGAAGTTGAGTTTGAATCCAAATGATTTGTGAAGTGCAAGCAGCAGCTAAAATATATTCAGTCTCAGTAGTTGATATAGCAACACAAGTTTGCTTCTTTGACTGCCAAATCAAAAAAGTGGTCAACTGATCCTTGTTTAAATTTAGATTGTTTAAAAAAAGTGGAAAGTGTTGCGTACTAGGCTCTTGGTGATGGTTTTAACCCATAAACTGCTTTGTCTAAGATGTAAACATGATCAGGATGTTCTTCATTTACAAATCCTGGTGGTTGTTCAACATAGACTGTTTCTTCTAGTTCTCCATTTAAGAATGCACACTTAACATCCATTTGAAAAACATCAAAGTCCTTGTGAGCTGCATAAGCTAAAAATATGCGAACTGCTTCGAGTCTTACAACATGTGCAAATGTTTCTTTATAGTCTATCCCTTCTTGTTGCGAATATCCTTTAACAACCAGTCTAGCTTTATTTCGAATAATGTTGCCATCTTTGTCGGTTTTATTTTAAAAAAATCCATTTTAATCCGACAATTGAAACATCAGAAGGTTTAGGAATTAATCTCCAAACCTTATTTCGTTCAAATTCAGCCAGTTCAGATTGCATAGCAACAACCCAATCTGAGTGTTCCATAGCATTCTTTACTGTCTTTGGCTCTATTTTCGAAATAAAATCATTAAACATACACAACTCTTGGTTCGCATTCAGTACCTCATTGTTCGCACGAATTTGAGCTCTTATCAACACACCATCTTGTGGATTCCCAAGCACCTGTTCTTTGGGATGATTCCTTGTCCATTTCTCAAGTGGCGGAAAATCAGGATTAAATTCCAATGGTGCATCTTCATACAAATCTTCATTTTCGGATCCTGCAACAGACAAATTATCATTTAACTCATGAAATTCATCATTTTTATCAAGATTAATTGTCTCTGTTGCATCATGCTACCCCTCAACATGATGTTCATCCTGATGCTCCCCCTCAAAATGATGTTCCTGTTGAAATTGCGAATGCTCCCCCTCAACTTGATAATTCATATTTTCATTCTCCCCCTCGAAAGTTTGCCCTCTGTGTGCATTGGTGATCGTATGCCCCCCTCCATACGAACTTCGGGCACACTTTCGCAAGATATTGATGTTGTAGTTATTGTTGAATCATCAATATGTTTTGAGGATTATGATGTTTGATTATCAGGAGCATGAACTTCCGCATCAATTGCCCTATCAGGAGTTCCAAAAATTAAGTCATAATCAAAATCATTGATATCTGAATTTTCAATTTGAGTATCTGAATCAACAAGAATTGATTTATGTTCAAATTTACTATCTGTTTGTTTAATATAGTAATCATCAAAGGTTAAGTTGAAAGTTTCTTCAACTTTTCTTGTTCGCTTGTTCAACACTTTGTATGCAACTGAATTTTGCGAATATCCTAAGAATATGCCTTCATCAGCTTTAGCTTGGAACTTGGTCAAATTATATTTTAGATTCATTATAAAACACCTGCAACCAAAAACATGAAAAAATTTTACATTAGATTTTCGATTGTTGAGTATTTAATATGGAGTAATATTGAATCTTTGATGAATGAATGATCGATTCTGAGTAAAACATGCAGTCGAGACAGCTTCAGCCCAAAGATATTGAGGTAAGTTCGCATATGTTAACATGGTTCTGGCAGCTTCACATAAAGACCTATTTCTTCTTTCAACAACACCATTTTGTTGTGGAGTATATGGTGATGAGAAATTATGCGAAATGCCTTTTCCTGTGAGAAAGGAATCCAATGTTTGATTTTTAAACTCAGAACCATTGTCACTTTTAATTTTGCGAACACTCTTCTTAAGAATCATCTCAATCTTTTTGATAAAATCAATCATTGTTTGAGCAACTTCAGATTTTAACCTGAGAAAAAATACCCATGTGAATCGAGAAAAATCATCAACAATAACTCAAATGTACCGCTTTTTATTGATTGTTGCAACAGTGGACGGTCCACATAAGTCAATGTGAAGAAGTTCCAATGGCTCCACAATCTTTGAATCTATCACAATTGGATGACCTTTTCTATGTTGTTTTCCTTGTTCACAAGCTGCACACAAAGTATCATTGTCAAATTTTAGTGTTGGTAAACCTCAAACCAAATCTTCACTGACAAGTTTATTAATATTTTGAAAATTCAAATGTGACAATCTTCTATGACAGATCCAACTAACATCATTAGACGCCTTTGATAGTAAACAGACAGCAGGTTTGCCCACAATTGGTTTGATGTCTAGTGTAAACATGTCGCCATATCTTTTGGATTTGAGAAGTACTTCATTTGTCTTCGCATTTGAAATGATACTTCCATCTTCATTAAACACAACCTGATTTCTAGTACCCACGACAAGTTGTGAAACACTGATCAAGTTATGTTGAAGACCTTCAACATAAGCAACCCTGTTAACTGTGATTTGTCCATTTGTGACTTTTCCATATCCTTTCACTTGACATTTGTGATTATTTCAAAATTTGACTACTCCTGCATTCTCCAAGCTTCTATAATCTCGCAAGTTTTCCTTTCTTCCAGTCATGTGAGGAGAGCAACAACTATCAATATACCATTTCGCATCATAGTGCTCGTCACATATCACCTGCATTTTTTGAAAAAATTTAGGAACCCAAAACTTATTGGGTCCATCATTAGTAGTTTTGAACAAATTCCTTGAATTTAAAAACCATGTTTTCACTTTATCTGAGACACTTTCCATTATATCAACATCATCAGATCTAGATATTGAAATATAGTTATTCAACAATTTTGGATTTCCATTGACTTCCATCTCATCCTTCACAACATTCTCAACTTTCATAACTGGTTTCCATTTTTGTACCGGAACTTGCGAATCATGAGATAATGAACTACCAGTAGTAGACTTATTAACGAATTTGTCAAATGCAGTCTTTATCTGTTGCTCTGAAAACTTCCCATTTTGATATTATTTTCCCTTCCCTTCAAGCCAATTGTTGGTCGTATATACATCTGACTTTCCTTTTGTATACGAAACGTTGGTTGGTTTAGACATTGAAGGATTTGGAAAATTTGGTTGTGTAGGTGAAAATTTTGGTTTTGTTTGAGTTTTGACTTTAAAAGTTGATGAATTATTCGTAAATTTGCCAACATTGTGAAACTTATGATCATTCAAAAATCTTTGCGAAGTCTCAAATTTTCTAATGTTGTCATATTTGTGAACAAATTTATCATTATTTTT